CAACAATAAGGGCCCCCCCCAAAACTCAAAAATAACTCTTTTTTTTTTCGGGGGAAAAGGGGGAACCCCCCCCCCCCCCCCCCCCCCCCAAAAAAAAAAAAAAAGAATTCTATGAAAAGTTCCCAACTTAATGGCAGCAACCTCTAACCAATAAGAAAAAGAAACCCTTAAAAGAACACAAGAGAGACAGAGAGAGCGCGAGGCAGATGGTATAAAACCTAGAAAATCAAGTGAAAGCTACGAAATAAATGAAAAAAGAAGTGAAACTCCACCCTTCTCCGATGTAACGATCCTCCAAGTGGGCGATCACTCCTCTGCATGAAACAGAGATCGATTTTGGAACCCTGTATCGCTCTGTTGCTGAGCACGTTGGGGCACAGGGCAGTCAACGGAGTTGGCTTTGTGCGCGCCAGCACATAGAACACATGTGGGATTTTTACGATCCAACTGGCTATGGCTCGAGCCATCATGGGAACCTCCGCCGTAAACACAGCACCGTGATTCTTCACCATCAAATTCCGTGTGGCTATACCGCCAGCAGGCAGAGCATTGAATGAGCCCCGTAGGGTTGTTGTATCGGAAGTAGTCGAATCGTTCCACGGTTGATGGGGTTACTTGGCGGTGAATCCCCGAACTTATGGCATTATTGGCGTGAACTGCGCTATAAGAGCTGATAACAAGTGACGCTGTCCCGTTTTCTTCTGTTTCTGGGAGCCACTGGATGGTATGAATGTAAGGAATGTTGGTGTTTGGAAACATCTGTCTATTGGAGTCCAATAAATCACGGATGATTTTGTCGGCAAGGTCGCTATTTTGAAATAAATTATGGTATGGGAACCTGGGGACAATGACATCGTAAGTTCGTACGATCACGGAGGCCGTTTCGCCAAATCGGCGAGACCAGATAAGCCGCTTCTTTGCCATGATACCTCTGAAGTCACTGGTGGCAAAGTATAAGCGAACGTTTCGGTTGATCATCTGCTGTAGACCAGAAACGACGGCCATCTTGGGGTCTATTATTTTGTCGATCCAGCCCAGGCAATCGTTTAGGTGTTGACGAAATTCGGGAAAAGAAGCCCTCATGAGCTAAGGACGAAGGGATCTACGTCCTTCATAATCAAAGTCCAAGGGGTATATTTATGTCATCTCCTTGCTGTGATGCAGTTCCTCGCTGTGACGCAGAAAGGTGGAGCGACTATGTGTGACGGCTTCGTGGTGGGTGTTGGCGTACCCAACGGTATATCTGGTGGAGTCTGGTAAAGAGCTCCCAGGATGTCACTGGAAGGCCGTGACTGAGAGCGTCGTGTGTGGGAACGATATCGGCGCAGCAGCGGGGATTCTCCAAGCAAAGGAGATTCCACTTTATGGTATACATATTCCTCTTCGATGTCCGAATCCACATTCCCATCGCTGATACCCGCGGTTGCCTGTTCCTTTGTGTAATTTGCCGGCTCCACGGTGTCCGAATCAATCTGAATAACTTCGGGGGTGGTCTGCGTACCTCTGACAAGGGAACGGATATTCCTTTTGGTTTAGGAGGAGACCCTGAAGGAGAACGGAGTAGCTTATTTTGAGAGTTATTGTCTTCGGGGCGGACTGGCGTGGAGGTAGGTGTCATAGGTAAAGGCATTGCAGAACCAATAGGCTTTCTTGGCCAGCTCAACACAGCTCTCAAGAAAAGGTATCAGGATTGAAAAGGGGACAAGACTTTGTTCTTTCAATGCCTGAAGTTGAGCTGCTTCTTTGCCCAACTGTGCTGCATGTTGCTCTATCGTGTACTCGGGAAGTTGAACACCTATTTCCGGCCATGTCGTCTGCTCCGCGTCCTCGGAGACTGGAACACCCGCAGTATATGAGACCTTCCCAGTGGGGTGAGTGCAGGTGAAAGTGAATTGATAGGTAGGGTGTGTATTATCCATGTTTTCGAGAACATGAAGGAGGCGCCCAATGGTGAGAACAGAGGGAAAAGAAATAGTAGAGGGAAGCAACCCTATTTATGTGCTACGACAAGGGAAAACCACGTCGACACCATGTCTTGGGATTAAATTGAAACGCGACACGAGATTTCAATTTAACAGAAAGCTTCGGCAGAGCTCGAATACCCTTATGACACCAGAACAGAAATCACGAACCTCGTCGCGCCAGAGCTAAAAGATCTATCATTGGTGCATCGCCGTCTGAATCCCGAGTTGCCAAAGCTCCGCCTGAACTAACTATTGAAACAGTGGGTTAGACAAATTGAATTGACACAGCGGAACACGCGAGCCGGCCACGCCTTGGGCTGCATCGTCGATTGCCAACAGATCGAACGAACCCTTTAGGGTGAGCATTCATGCATTTGACATAAAGAGTTAACCACTTATTATTATTATTATTATTATTCTTCAATTATAGATGTATGCAGTCAGAGACTATGACATCTACCTGAGAACTTTTAGTTCTCAGGGTTTTTTCTATCTCTCTATATATTAAAGAAAAACCAACTTTTCCGTGCAAAAAATGCTGTAACATGACCTCATGTGATATCATGTGCACCCCATCAAATTTATGATTGAGATTAACAGCCAGCTCTGCAGCCTGTACAACTCTGATAGATAATCTTCATTCTTTTCTTTACAGGTGTTCTCTACTGTATTTACATTCTTTATACTCTTATCTATGTTCATTACAACCTGTGTACTATGTTCATTACAATCTATGTATTCATTAATATACTCTTTCATGCACTGCTGCTTGATATATGAGGATTCTCATTCTCTCAGTGCATTTGAACATTCTCAATTCAATGCATTATTCTGTACATGCTCTACATGCTGTCAAGCCCAGCATCATGTATATCAGACACATTCAGTTCAAATCTCCTGCTTATCATTGAGGAATATAGCTGCTTCTATGCTCAACTCACAGCAAGTTGAGCTGTCACACTGTGATATATACTGTGAAGACTGTTCATCTCACCTGTTCTATGTTGTCAATTGTGTGTTCAAGAACTGTAATAACTGTCAGACTCTCAATTATGAACATGTCTGTAATATCAAATACTGTCATCTGGCAGCTGCTGCAGCAGTTCATACAGATTATATATATATAAATTTATCAGAGCAGCTGTTTCTTGATATTCTCAATAATTGAATCAGCTCAACTATTTCTGAATCAGCTGTTAATTCTTCAATTACTTACAGCTGCTGATCTATTCTCTGCAGCTTCTGATTCTACACTTATCATCATTAATCACTTGATTTTAACTGAATGAATGTCTGCTGCTCTGTCTACAGAGCTAAGCATTGAATTAATAAATATATATACAGATTATCAAAGACTCTATCAGTGTTTTTCATATACTGTGTAAGAGATGCTGTAAGACTGCTATCTGTCAAAGAATTCTTATAAGAGCTACATGAGCTGTTTAATAATAATACAGCTGATATGAAGTATTTCTACAAGTATATTTAAAACTATAACTCTGCTCTGATATTTACATCTATTAAGTACAAGCAGAATTCATATCTGAGTCATCTAACTACTAGTGACTCAGTGTTATTTTAAATACAGAGAGAACTCTATTATCTATAAGAACTGTTAAAGTCTGAGTCAGATAAGAATATCTGTTTTATACAAATATAAATTCATGACTCACAGTTTGATATGAGTATTTTAAATAGTACAGACTCTGTCATACATTCTAGTGTATTTAATTATATTTATATTACATTGCTTACTGTTCATTCATTTGCTTTTTCACATTCTTCTATTATATTATTATAACTGCTAATATTCTCAAGATTAATTCTTTTATTCAGCTTTATCAGTCTGTATAAGAGATACTACAGAACAGTTCTGTTATATGTATTGATTTAAACTCTGTTCTACAGCTGAAGACAGGCAATGACTGTCACTGTGAGAATCTGTCTACTGTCTCTGAGATTGCAGTTGTTATACAGAACACTTCTGACAGTATCTGTCATCTCTATATCATTCTTCTAATACTATAACAGCTCAGTACTAACTTAAGTCTTACATATATTAATTCTTACAGTCTGTTATATCTTTTACTGTATTATATTCTACTTTTTTCTTCTGAAGATTATGACTGATATATTGATATGAATATGCTTACAGATCTCTTATCTATCTGCAATGACTCTGATAATAATGTTAATAATACTGTTAAGAATGAAGATAAGTGTGATAGCTGTAGCCTGACTCTGTGTATGTAACATGTATATAATCTTTTTCAATGAGATAATATTAATACTTCTCTTTTTCAGGTCAGATATCTATTTCAACAATATTTAGTTAATGTCTATATAAATGTTGATGAACAGTGACTGAACTGAGTTCATACTCATTAACTGGAAATTCATGCAGATTAATATAGTAATCTATATAATACTATACAGACAGATGATACAGATCATGAGCAGCTTGATCATTATATAATATTATCTGCTTCTTATATAGACAGTGAATGTTTTATGTATAAACTGTTTCAGAATTCTATGATAATTATCTTTAACTACAGATATTCAATTCTTTTCATTATATTCACAGTTAACTCTGAATGAGAGAAGATTATCTGTAAGTTACTCTCTGATCAGACTGCAGTGAACTGTTCAGATTTAATTATATATATTTTTATAATGAAGATTTTTCATTTTCTTAACATTTTCAAATTCAGATAGCTGTTCAGACTGATGTTGATCAGAGTATAAATAATTGAATATTAAAAATGTGAACTGTCTCATATGCATCTGTTAATCTGACTAGAGAACTCTGAGTAGTTTTTACAGTCTGATACAATTGATGATATTATATCTGCAGAGCTGTCAAGCTCTGCTGAGAATATAAATGAGTTGAGTGAATTGATCTGTAAATTCATAATTCATAATCTATGTAATGCTGGCGGGGTGAGCCTCTGTCATGAGAATGATAGATGTATAAAATGTTTTTTCAAAGCTTTTCAGAGTGCTACAGCTGTTGAAGAGAATGACTATTCTCTGTATAGATGAGAGCATGATTTATCTATCTTCTTTAAATATACTATCAACAACAGTGAGATTGTAATTGATAATTAATGAGTTATTTCATACAATCTCTATCTCATCTGCACATATAAAGCATATATAAATATAGAGATCTGCATCTCTGTTGAAGCTATTAAATACATTAACAAATACATCTATAAGAGTCTGAACTGCACTGTTCTTCATATCATTGACTTCAATGATGAGATTGATATTTGACTACACAGGTGTTATATCAGCTCAACTGAGACTGTATGATGTATATTTGCATTTCATATACATCAGAAGTTTCCATCTATTGAGATGTTATTTATTCATCTATCAGACTGTCAGATGATTTACTTCCCTGAATCTGAATATGAAAATCATGAATATATTACTGAACATTTAATAAATAATATATTTAAGTTCATGATATTCTTTGTCTACAACAATTTATATCTGAATATTCAGTATCTCTATCAAGAATTTCTCTGTCATTTTGTTTGAGACAAATGTAATCAGAGGTGAAAGAACTGTGTGAAGAGAAGATTAGTTAACTATCTGTCTCATCTCAGTTCATATAATGATAAGATATTCTTTTTACAGCTGCTTCTTATTAATATATATGATTCACTGAGCTTTGAGACTCTGTAAATGATGAATGGTGTTTGTCACTCTACATTTCATACAGCATGTCAGGCACTTAATCTTCTGCATGATGATAATGAGTGAATCATTATATTTGAATCTGCTATTGTATTTACAACTGCTCACTGCATGCAGTCAGTATTCATCACTGTATTAATTCATGAAAATGTTGCAGATTCATCTGCTCTCTGAGCATGTTTCTGTCATACTCTCTATAATAATCTTTCATATTGACTGTGTCAGATGAATCTGAACTGTATTATCAATGCTTCTGCAGAAGATTTATATTATAACTATAGTCTGTTTCTTATTCAGCAGCTTCTGCATGAGTTTGACAAGATTCTTACAGACTTTGATCTGCCTGCATGCAGCTCTGTATGAGATAATCTTATTAAAAATCAGCTACTTTTTGAGAAGTAGAACTATAATCTTATAGAGGAAATCACCACTGCAGATGCTCTGCAGGTGCAGTTAAATAATGATCAATATCATGCATATAATTCAATTCTGACTGCAATAGAATTACAGTCATCTCACTATTTTCTATAAGATTCTGATGACACTGATAAAACATTTCTTTACAGAGCTCTCTATAGCTGTCTACATACAGGTGAAAAAACAGTTCTTTGTATGACTTTCTCTGACATTGCAGCTGTTCTTTTATCATATGATAGAACTGCTCACTCATGTTTTATCATCTCAATTGAATTGAATGCAGATTCTGTGTCAAAGATGATCATTTGCAGTGAACTGAGTCATCTGCTGCAGGCTGTAGACTTGATTATTTGAGATGAGGCCCTTATACAGCACTGCTATTATATGGAGATTGTTGACTGTCTTCTTCAAGATTTACATTCATTGAATGAGCTTTTTGATGATATGTCTGTTATATTTGATAATGATTTTGCACAGACTCTGTCTGTTATACTGTGTGACAGCTGTGCTGCAGTTGTTGCAGCTTGTCTGCAGTGTTCATATATATAATAATGATTAACTGTACTGCACTTGAGAAGAAATATGAGACTGACTGTGAATGATGACAATATAATGTTTACAAATTGACTTAATCAAATATCATATAATCTGAACTGTATTAACTGTGTTAATCTTTCATTCTATATTCATCAGGCTGCTGACATCAGTGTGCTGTGTGAGAGAGTATTTTCTACAGCTGAACTTAGAACTGCAGCAGTCTGCTCTAATTACTTTGAAAGTCATGTCATTCTCACTGTATTAAATCAGAATGCATTCTGCATTAATAAATG